TATATATATGTGTGTGTGTGTGTGTACGTATGTATGATATGCATGTAATTTATAAAAAATTAAACGACGACAACGACAATAATAATAATAAATAATAATAATAATAATAATAATAAAAATTAAAAAAAAATAATAATAACAATAAAAATAACAACAATAATAATAATAATATTAATAATAATAATAATACCTAAACATTTATAAGGCGCCAATTCCAAATTGAATGATCAAAGGCGCAAGCGTTATTACCCATGGTCACTGGATAACGTACAACGGCAAACCAGCACAAAGTGCAACCTTCTCTGCTCCCTGGGGAGTATACCTAGTCGTTTGCTACTTCTTTATCGCACGAAACTAAAACATTCAATGCCACAACATCCTACCAGGTACCCATTTATACTCCAGGGTAGAGAGAGACAGACATAGATAAAGTGCCTTGCCCAAGGACACAAGTGATCCCAAGCCACAATCGATGCGCCAACCTCTTCTACAGTTTAATGCCATTTTATATACATATTAACTTCTGCTAAAACGCTGTTGGGAAAAGGCACTGTCTTTGACAACTAAACTACAGCCTATTCACTATAGGCCTAATCTTATTTACTATAAATATATATTTTAATTTGAAATATATTTTTTATTAATAAAAACTAAAAATCTGCAAATACCTTTTAATCACAAAAGTAAGTAATGTCAGAAAAAGAAATGCAATTGATATGCTTAAGCCAACAATAATCACAATGTCAGCTGCTGCAGGGGGAAGAGATGACATCTGATGGAAATCCTATTAAAAGGCAAATAAGCAAAACATTACATATGTTGATTTACGTATGAAATACCATACAGTGATCTAAAGGCAAATATATTAATATACTGTAATCAAGTATATCCTATTATTGTAAATTAAAGTAAAACAACATTAAATACAGTAATAATAATAATGAGTAATTCTAGTACTCAGTTGTTTGCTGGCTACTTTTCTTTATTCATTTGAATAATGTACAATTACAATAGTTACAAGACTAAATAATACCAATAACTAAATCATAAAATAAAAATAGTAATTAAAATAGGCCTAAATATAACAATATCAGTAAAATATGATAATTACAATGGTAGTGATAATAAAATTATTAAGGATAACGAAAATGATAATGTTGATATAGTTATAATAACAACAATAATAATAATAATAAATATATTTTTACTGTTATTATTAGTAGTAGTAGCAGCAGTAGTAGTAGTAGTAGCAAAGCTATATAATTATTAGTATTATTATCGCTGTCATTATTAATATGAATGGAATAATACTAAAAGAATAAATAACATAATACTTATTTTCATAATTAGATAAAAAGACAGATTCATATATTAAGTAAACGGATGTGTTGCTGGTGAACATACCATAAGTATAGCAAAGTTAGTTAGATGAGTGCACTCGCAATACTGCTTATCACTTCCATCATCTGATCCATTTACAAATGTGCAGCCTTCAGTCGACCATCCTCCAATTCCATCCAGTATGAAGTCCCAAAAGACACAGGTTGTATTTCTGTTTGTTTCAGAAATCTAAAAATAATACCGTATAATGTATGTGCAAATGATAGGCTTATGTTTGAAATGACCGAACATAATACGCATTAATCATTTTCTTTGAAAGACTATTAATATTTCTTACAATAGTAAATAATCTTTGGAATGTCAGTCTAAATAGATTGTTGGTATGTTATAATATTATTTATTGTTTTGTTCAAGTATTACTGTTCCTAGTTAAAAGCAAGTTATCGGTCACAATAATAATTATTAATAATTTCAGTATTAATCAACATCTTAAAATAATATTATTTATTTAAATAATGATATTAAAAACAGTTACTTCAATGGGAATGAATGTGGTAACGATGGGCTCGTCCAGTTTAACAGGATCTAATCCAGGCACTGACAGAGAAATAACTTGACTATTTGGTCTGCGACCTGATGTATCATTAATGAACTGAGCAGATTGGAACAGTCTACTGTCATTATAAACAATAACTATAATCCGGAAATCTAAAAGCAGAAACAAAACAGACAATCATAAAGAAGCCATGATTCGAGATACCAGGTCATTTTTGTGTGACCACACTCCACTAAACATCGTTTTTACACTTTTTATGAGTTAAGTAAAAATTGTCGGTTATATATTTCATTAGATGGCTAAGATATAAACCATGGTATTATATAAGATGTGCGCTTCATAAATCTTATTATTATTATTATTATTATTATTATTATTATTATTATTATTATAAGATGACATTTATAATAACATATGATGAATAAATGCATTTGTCATTTTACTTTCCGGTACAAAGCTTTATTAATTATCATTATTATGATATTCACTTCACCTTTCTCTTCTAACAGCAGTTTTATGTTTCTAATATACTTTGGAATCCATTTGTTTGTGTACAGGGATGTATGTATTGGTATGCAACAATACACTTGATTTTGAACACACTCTAAATGAAACTTTCAGGTCTAACCATTTATCTGTAAGCCCAATGCAACAGATACTTTTATATTATTACGAATTGTTATTATTACCTGTCATATTATTAACACTGATGACGTCAGATATACTGCTTGGCAGTGCAATTGACACATTGGCAGCATCAGGTATTTTCACACCATCGGCAAATACTTCAACAGCGCCTACACCATTCTTATTTGATTCTGATATAAAAGTTAAGTACATCATGTTTTCTTCACTAAGTTGAGTTGCTTTCAACATCTGAGCCTGTACTGCTATGTTAGGTGTCGTTTCTTCATAAATACCTTTTTCATTTAGCTCTACTTTGCCTAATTGATCTTCAAGAACTTCAACAATTTTAGTAGGAGCCTGATCCTCCATTTGACTTTCCATTAGAATTTCCTCATCAACACTTAACAAGTTATTTACTATCATAACAATAGATTGTGTCACCTAAGAGTAAATTAAATACAAAATAACTATAGTTAGTTTAGATTAATAAACACCACACAAATGCTCAATCTGGTAGTGATGGTGTAAAAGCATATATATATATATATATATATATATATACTATTCCTAACTAACTCATAGGGCGTTTCTCAACGTCGTTAAAATTTCCCCTTAGCGGCAGTATTTTCGCCTTAA